CCCACGCTTTATCCAACCCAATGTCATTAGTCTTCAAGGCAACGTGGTTTAGTGACAAGACAAACAATGAACATGGAATTATAGTTTTCCCAACACTCCCTCCCCAGTCTCAACCCATGCTCTCACAGCAAAGAAATTAATTTCATCCTCCTTAATGCTCCTATGTTACTTTGCCTATGTTTATCTATAGGAATTATCACATTCTGCCTTACACAGTAATTTTTTACTTCATTTTCCTATTAGGTTATAAAATCCTTGAAAACACAAAATGTCTTATGCATCTTTGATTCATGCCATGACGTATAAAATAATTACCAATAAATGAATTGGACATTATGAACATTCACGTTGTCAAGTGCAGCACAGTTCTTTGTCATGCCTCTCCTAAAAGTCTAAATTATTTGTTTCTGAGAACTCAGAAATTCAGTGGGAGAGGATGTACAAGCTCTTTTAGGCTCTGAGATATCATCTGGGAGTAGGGACTCTCCCAAAAAAGAATCTAATTGTTTTCCTTCCCTAGGAACAGTCATTTGAAGTCATTAGGACCTTGTCCGTACTCAGGTGACACCACTTCTCTTCTCTTTGTTCACTTGGCCACAAACATTTACGATTCATCCACCACATTTATCATCCAATATGGAGTGCTCCTGAGACACTATTGGCTAACCTGATGTCCAGCCCATATGCATATGCCTTTGTCTCTGACACTAATTCCTGCTATAAAGATCCATGGAGCAGAACTGGTTTCACTCTATCCGGCTGTTACAAGCCATAGAGAAGTCACATAGAAGGAACTGCTTGGGGCCATTTTCTCCAGCTGGGCTTGGGGATGGGCAGTGTTGGTGCTTGGGGACTGGGAAAGTGGCATGTATATAAGCTTGATAAACTTCATTCCAGTTCAAAAAACTTTCTAAAAAATTACTTGATTCCCAAACAGCCCATTTCCCTATAAGGAGGTCATTTAGCAGTGGGAGAAATTAACTTATTTCTCATATTTCTAGCTAATTTCTAGATTGAATTTCTTTGTACTTAATCTTTTGCATTTTTGTTTTCTTTAAGAAATGCACTAAAAGTAAATTTTAAAAATGTGGGCAATAGGAAGACGTCTCCAAAGGGGATAACACTAAACATTACATATGTGATGTTTCACCTCCCATCACCACTTCTTCTCTGCCCCTCACTGCTTCTGGAAAAGCAAGAAGTCAAGAGATCTGTCAGAAAAGCAAGAGGGTATGGTTGAAATTAACCACATAACTGGACACCATGTAGGGCTGGCCGGTCTAACATATAATGGGAATTACCTTGTGTTCTACCATTTCCCCAGGGCCCCAAAAAACAGACATACAAAGGAAATTCAGAAAAGAGCAACAGAATCATTAAGGAGCTGTGAGGTTGATTTACGAGGCACATTATGAGAACTAAGTACATGTGGCTTGGCTAAACGATGACTGAATGAAGACACAATGAATGCCTATGAGTTTACAGAGAATGTACTCGCTGAGGAAAAGAGAGGGATGGAGTTATCCTGGAGGTGATAACATCATAGTCACTGTGCTTTTATTTATTTTATTTTTAATACGGGGCTCTATGCTTTATATTTCTCTTGCTTGCCACAGAAGTCAGTGCCGATATATTTTTAAAATATCTTATAATAATTAAAAAGATAAAATAACAACGATGGAAATCTGTATAAAATTTTACCTTTATAAAACGTAGGAAGTTCTCTAAATGTATTTTGGGTAGGAGTATTGACTGAAAAGTAGTAAGAATATAAATCAATTAATAGCCTATCTGAGATAGAGAGGGAGAAATGAGTGTCTGGTGCCACATCTGTGGTAAGGGAAAGGGAGAAGAGGAAGAAATGAAAGGGAAAAAGAGAATCAACCAAAATACTTGAACCTCTTAACCCAGTGGAGTTGCCATCTTGGTGGGCAGCCAACAACAGCAACTTATGAAAATTCTCTAATATGGTATCCCCTGACTTCCCCCAGAGACCTCAAGTGACACAGTTTATTTCAAATAGGAGAAGGTCATTAGCCTGTTTGCTATCCTCTAGACTCGAAGTGCCAGGAAAGACTGAGAAAAAGTGCATGTCGAAGGCAGATGGATGATGGTTGATGGGACCAGTCTAGCCTCTACTGCTGCTGAGGAACAAACAGCGTCCAGTTCTTTCTTAGCTCATCCTATGCAAGTGATAAAACTTAAAGTGAGGTTTGCAGTATCTCAAAAGGTCCAAGAACAACTGACTACTTGTCCATCCCTGAAGTAGGTGCTAGGGGTGTTATGGTGAATATGACATGCTCCCTGTCCTGAAGGGCTCCCAGGCAAGAGAGAGAGACAGACACAGAAACAGACATATCATTAATATTCAATGAGTTAAGAGATATAAGAGGAGAGCAAGGAGTGTCAGGCCTACAGAGAGGATGAAATCTATCCCAGTATGGACAGTTCAAGAAAGGATGTCCTGGAGGCTGCAAAGCATGACCTGACATGGTTATCATCAGATGGTTTCACTTTCAATTTCCAATTGTTTCACGTGGAGATCTTTATCCAGGAGCATTTCCAGCAGATGATACAGTGGATGTGCTGTTTTGCTTGTCAAGCTTGCTTCCTTCTTAAAGAAAAATCCCATCTTCCCTAGAGAACTACTCTTCCTCCCCACTCCAACTATGTGGTGTTAGCTAATCCCCATACCTCACCTTTCTTGTCTCCTTCAATTGGTCCAGGGTGAGCTCATCCAACTCCTTTCCTGGAGTTTTCCAAATTGAGCCTAAGGGAGAAGGACATTCCTTTTGTGGTGAAAGGCTATAAAGAAAGAGTTTAGGGAGAATTTAAGAATGACACTTCCCTTATATGGAAGAAGCCAGTCGGTGGTGGAACAGACTAACACCAACACAGAGAAGCAACAAAGATAGATAGAGATATGGAGTTCTGATGGTTTCAAGGCCCTGATCCTAGTTGCCTCTGAGGCAGCACCATTCCCATTCCGTCACCATGTGAAATACCACAGCATCCTGCCAATAAAGTCTTATCCCCAAAACTAGTTCCAGTTTGGTTTTTATCATTTGCAATCAAGAGGCCTGAGTAGCAGCTCCATTAGCAATGACTTCTTGACATTTTCATCTTTATCTTGACGTTACATTTCTCCTCTCATCCTCCCCCTTTCCAAGAAGAGTCAGCCCAACCTCAATACTGCCAATTTCTGCTTGTTCTGTCTATTTATACTTTGAAAACTTGGCCAATATTCTTGCTTCCCCATCAGCTGTGCTTCTAGTTGTTCCATATCTACGTTTCCCAAAGTCAGCTCCCATGTCAAAATACATCACCACGCTATCTACCAAGAGCCATCACCAGAGAATCCAACTGAGTGGGTTGAGGGTGGGGCCCAAGAATCTATATTTTTAAAAAATACACTCTAGTTGATTCTGATGTGCAGCCAGGTGGAAGCATCACTAGGCCAGACGACCCGTGAAGCCCATCAATTTGAAGAGTGTTTGAGTGTCCTAGACATGGCACAAATTAACTGTTCAGTCCCTTGTCAAGCTTTGAGTACAGCTTGGTCTGGTTTATCTCAAAGAAAGCAGAATCACTGGTGACTTGGAAGTATGTCATAGCAGTTCCAAGCGCTCAGAGAACTATTTGAAGGGGCTGGAGATGACTTCATCGTCAGGGGGGCAGGTGTTGCAGGGGCAGGCCTGGCCCCTTACACAAGCTGCCTTTGATTCATGCTGGAGATGGATGATGTAGAGGAAATTTTGTTTAAGTCTAGAGTTACATCACAGGCCTGTATATTTTTTCTTATAAAGGGTCTTTCCAACACAGCTATCCTCAAAGGAGCTGGGCAGAGCAATCCCAGAGGCAGCAGCAAACCTGAAGTATAGGGGAGAAATTTTTGTTTAAATCCATCAGGCAATGGTCACCTTTGGAGCAATAAAACTGCTCTGGTTCTTGTGAGACATGACAAGTGCTTCACAGCAGCCGTTTTTGAAAGTGAAGGCCAAGTGGGAGAGGGATTTGACTTGCTGACGTATCAGCCAAGTAAAGCAAATATCTTCCTCACTCTTTCCCGAATTCACTGAGGTTCTGACACTGGCCGTGCTGAACCTGCCTTATAATCTCAAAAGCTCTTGGATTTTGAGAAGTACTGTTTTACATTAGGCACGATACAACAGGTGTTTCAAGGCCTTTCTCAACCAGAAAGAAAGTTTTTACTTACCTCAGGCTCTTGTATTTTTATTTTATTATGTTTTACTCTTATTTCTACCAAACCTGCGGAACTGGGGGTTTACAAATCAGTGGAGCTTGGAATGATTACGCAAAAGAACTTGCCATTTGGCCAATAGCAACCCTCATCCCAACACTGCCTTTCTCTTCTTTTCTGAGTTTCTTCTCCTCCCCTCCCCCCCGGGCCCCCTCACTTTTTCTCTTTCTTCTTTCTCTTTTCCTCCCTCCCTGCTCTCCCTCCCACTCTCTCTACGCATTCAGAGTGCCCTAACCGGTGACAAAGTTGCACGTGCTTCCCTTATGACTAAACCCCTGGGCCTCTCGCCAACCCCCCACAGATGGCCCCAAACTTCAGGCATCCCTTTAGAAGAGCCCCACATTTGCAGCCCTGCTTGGAACGGCCAGGGCAGAGAAGTGTGGTGGGGAGTGGCGGTGTCTTAGTCCTGGGGGAAAGCAAAGCAGCTTCCAGGAGGAAACGGGCGTTTCCTTCCCACGCGCTCGAGCGAGCCCTGGGTCCTGGCCCCGGGACTCCACCCAGCCCCTCCCTGTGCTCTGGGAAAAGCCAGTCGCCACACACAGGCACACGCAGGCCCGGGGGCCACGCCCTAAGGAGAGCAGCACCCACGGCCAATTGCCATGACAACCCCGGGGTTCGTTCCATTCCCCACCCAGCCCATCCCCCCTCCTCCCTGCGCTGCAGCCAACCGGCTTGTGCGCGTCCCTGGAGCGCGCTATAAAACCTGTGCCGGTGGCGCCGGGGAAGACAGGCGAGCGCCGGACCTGGAGCCAGGCGAGCAGAGCCAAACTACAGCGGAGCAAGTCTCGTTTTGTGAAAGCGGGAGGAAAAAGCCCGAGCATGCAGAGCGCGCAGAGCATGAGTTTCTGTCTGCCGAAGCAGTGCCTTTGCCTGGCTTTCCTGCTCCTCCATCTCCTGGGACAGGTGAGCGGTGCACCCCTAAGATGCCCCTGGTTACTTTGCCCTCCTGGGCGGCCCTTGCTCGATCCCCGGGTCCCCTGCCTTCGATTGTCTCTGCCGAGAGTTTTCTCCTTCTTGTCTCGCCCACCCCCAGGTCGCTGCGACTCAGCGCTGTCCGACCCCGTGTCCGGCCCAGTGCTCCAAGACGCCGCCGACCTGCGCCCCCGGGGTGAGAGCGGTGCTGGACGACTGCTCCTGCTGTCTGGTGTGCGCCCGCCAGCGCGGCGAGAGCTGCTCGGAGATGGAGCCGTGCGAGGAGAGCAACGGCCTCTTCTGCGACCGCAGAGCGGACCCCAGCGCCCAGACGGGCATCTGCATGGGTAATCCTGCCCCCTCCGCCGCTTACCTCTTCTCCCGCGGCTAGCTGGACTGCCTCCTCTCTCCTCTCCTCTTCTTCCTCCTCCCCAGAGGGTGATGCGCAAATAGTGATAATGAGGATGCAGTAGGTGATGTTTATGCAGCGCTTACTGGGTGCCAGGCACAGTCTAGGGGCGCTTGGGTCTTTGCGGGGCGCCAGAAGACAGAGAGGAAACTTGCCCGCGGAGGTGAGAAGCATGCATCATTTGCCTCCCTAGAGAAGAATCTAGACAGACGGGGAGCAGGCAAAGTGAAGTCATTTCCTTTGGACATTTCCAGGGATGCTTGGGGGTGAGGGAAGGTTGGGCTTACTCACACGCTCACAGTTGCCCCAACTACAGCCCAGCCGGTTTGTTTTCACACCTGTAATTGTCCTGTTTGAGCCAAAGCAGCCCCTAGTCTCCTGGGACCACTGTGGAAGCCCTGTCTGCGCTGTGAGTAATAAAATGCAGGTAACCAGCCAATCCAAGCTGGTGAAACTTAATCAATAGGGATCAGTTTTCCACGTGGTGCACCATTTAGTTGGAGGTTGTCCCTGCCTCCCTGGGTAAGAGGGCTTGGAATAGCCTTTTACTTTCTTCTCTAAGCTCCTGATAATTTGTCGTGCTGGCATGCCAAGGAATCCTAATGCCCTTCCCAATTTGACCAGTTAACGTATTTGAAGAATATGAAGTGCTCTTTTTTTTCTTTTTAACTCTAAGCTGCTAGAGTAGGAGAACCTAAGGAGGTTCTTGCAAAATGACTTTATCGTTGGGAACAACAGCTGGGGGGTCCTGGGAGTGTCACTTCTCAGTTCTGCATGTCTTTTCTCATCTGTAAAATGAGTGGCACAACTGGATGGTCTCAAAGGTTTCTTCTTGCTCTGGGAGGCCTCTATGAGGACATCTCTCTACTGGAGATGGATGAGAAATCAGATGGCCCCAACCAGAAAAGGAAGGATTTGGGGTTTGGAACATATGCTGCGAATCCTATATAGCTTCTCCAATGCAGTGTGTTCTTCTTCTTGTCTCTCCCTTTCCCTTTCTGCCGTGCTTCTGCAATATTCTAGCGGTAGAAGGAGACAACTGTGTATTCGATGGGGTCATTTACCAAAGTGGAGAGACCTTCCAGCCCAGCTGCAAATACCAGTGCACCTGCAGAGATGGGCAGATTGGCTGTATACCCCGCTGTGAAGAGGACCTGCTACTGCCCCAGCCTGACTGCCCAGCTCCAAGAAAAGTTGAGGTGCCCGGGGAGTGCTGTGAAAAGTGGATCTGTGACTCAGCTGAGAAGGGGGACTTAGGGGACCTCCTTGCCCTCCCAGGTGAGAAACTCAGGGTACCTGAGGTGATCACAGCACAGGATATGTGCAGGCAGGAAGCCCGTGTGCTCTTTTGGATTTGCAATGAGCAGCTGGCCTCAGTTTCTGGCCGTTCAGTTGTGGATTCCAGATTGCCCACTGAGATCAAACACATCAAGAGTTGGAATCCTAGCCAGGTTTTTACACAGTTTCTCCTAAAGAGAACCTGCCAAATTCAGTGGTTCTTTTGAGCAATGGGACTGATTTTGTCTTATTGCATGACTACTATTTATATTTTAGTCCAACTTGCTTGACCCTTATTAACATTACAAAGATCAAAGTAAAAAATCACTCTTTTTTTCCTCTAGAGTCCGTACACTACCTATGAGCTCTCAAGACCAGCCTCCCTAAAGAATGCTCCTCATCCCTTGACAGGTGTCACAGAGAAATGTCACCTTTTCAGATGCTATAGGAGGGGTCAGGTGACACTTCAGGATCTTCGTTTTGCTTTTTGTTTTGTTTTATCTTATAAAGGAAATAGTTTTTTGAAAAAACAAGACAAAACAAAAAAAACCTCAAGAGCCAGTAGAGAATATTGGAGAAGCTATTAATCAGTCAGATTATTTATACTGGCAGTATGCAGAGCTTTACAGCTTTTCTGAGGTCAGAAATTATCAGCCGTACCTTACAGACAGGAAAACTGCCATGTAGAGGAGGGGGTGTGTCCCAAGCCATGCGCATTACATGTCGAGATGGAACTTTCTGTAACCAAAGTCCAAGTGTCTATGTCGCATAACCCAAACAACCACTTCTGTCTCCCTAAGGCAGAGGATTGCTTTCATCACTATTTTGGGTGATTCTACTCACTCTTCCAATTAAAATTCTATCATGATCCTCTTCCTGTACAAAAATCACATATTGAAAATACTACAGCTGATGGAACGGTTGTTGATGCTATACTGTTCTATATTCTTAAAACTACTAAGCTTCTTAAGACAAGCTCTCCTCAACCTCTTAATGACAAGTTGGACAGTCATTCCACAAAGATTTCTTGAAGGCCTACAATGTGCCAGGCATTGTGCCGCCTGTTAGGGGTTTATAAATACAAAGATCCAATTCTGTCTCCTGAGAGCACCTGAGTTTAATAGGTACAGAATTTAATGAGACTCTGTCTAATGTTGGTTGAAAGGACTACTTTGCAATCCCCATGTTTTACTCAATATAGCTGTCTTTATCTACATATCCCATAGCCTACAGGACAGAAGCCACTGTAGGAGTTGCAGTCTCTGACTCCAGTGTCAACTGCATTGAACAGACCACAGAGTGGAGTGCATGTTCCAAGAGCTGTGGCATGGGTTTTTCCACCCGGGTCACCAACAGGAATCCACAGTGTGAGATGGTGAAGCAGACTCGCCTCTGCATGGTGCGGCCCTGTGAACAAGAGCACGAGCAACCGACAGATAAGGTAGGAGCCTGGAGGTAGCCTCCCTTCACAGAGGAGGTGGCCTTGCCTCGTTGGAGCCTGCACTTTGGAAAGTCACTGTGACTCTGGTTGACTCAGAGGTCAGCTCTAGCTGGGAGTTAACCCCAGGGAAAAGGCAGAGAAGTTCCTGAAGTGAATGAGTTGACCGTCCTTTTTTTCTCTTTAATATATTGAAACATCCCAAGCAGCTCACAGCAGATCTGCGGGTAAAGAGAGAGGTGCCAGTCAATTATAATAATGTCCCCAGTTGAGAATGGTCTGGCAAATTCCATTCTATTCCTGGAGAAAACTGGCTACTTTTAGAGAGGTCATTTCTGACCTCAGTTTCCCTCACCCCTTCAATCCTTAGGAAGCAAAAGAATAGGAACCAAATCTGCCTTACTCACCCCTCAGTCCCTAACATCCTACCTGGTACATATTTTGCGCCTGATAAACAATTGTTGATGAATAAATGAATGGATGTCTGGGAATTACTTTCAGTATTTTTAAAAGCCTAGTGGGAATAGTACATTAGCCAGCGTGAAGTGCTATGTGCCAAATAAAATAGCACATTTCTTTCCTTTTTTGCTGGAATTATATCAACTCAGTGTACTAATGCTGAGTATAAGGCATGCAGATCAGAAGCTCTGATTGGTTCCTGATGATATCACAAGTCTTGTTACCAGAGCTCTGAATCAGATAAATGCAATACCCAAATTGAACTATTATATGGACCCTTGTACAAACCTAAGGCCAAAATAAAATAGTCCCTAGCAATGAAAGATTTACATATCTCTACGCTGAGGCAATATCATCTAATGCTTAAGAACGAAACTCTGGAGCCAGACAGCCTGGCTGTAAATCCTGGCTTCCCATGTGAACTGGCTGTGGGATCTGGGCAATTTTCTTAACCTCTAAGCCTCAGTTCCTTCCCCCATATAATGGGGCCATTGACAGTACCTACCTCAATGCTGTCGTGAGGATTAAGTAGAATGAATTTGCAAAGTGTTGGGTGCAGATTACTCTGCTAACATTAGGCATCATTACTTAACATTAGGCATCATTTCTGTTTATTGGTAAAATAAAATAGTCTAGTGGTTGCATTAGTTATATGGCAGCTTAGCTATATGACTTTTTGAGGTCCATCCTAGTTTTATGTTTCTTCCACCAATTTAGAAAGTATACCTAGAAACACCTTATCCCTAAAATTATCTGCTGGAAGCCACACCTCCCCATACTTAGGGGAATTCTAACATACATGTAACAGTCATGCAGGTTCACCCACAAAGCAGTCTCTCTCTGTCTCTGTCTTTCTCTCACACACACATACATACACACACACGCACATACATACACAGACACGTACATACACATACACACAGAGATGTTGCTGACCTTATCTTTTTGTGGATATTGGCAAGAATATATGCTGAACATTAATATAAAGAGGGAAGAAACAAGAATCCCCCCTTAAATATTGTCAAGGATACTGAAGCTCCTTTATTAAATAAGGCTTTTCCGTGGCATGCTTCTAAAACTTTGCTTTTTCTATTGTTTGTTTTACCAAAATTTGTATTTTTCTTGTAACGTGCACCCAGTTTAATATTTTAGATACTTTATATTTAAGGTATTTTTTAATAGTATAAATGTATTTCGTAAAGATTCTAGAAATTTGTTTGGAATCTAGGGAAATACTAGCATGATAGTTATTACTTCCTTATCACCAAGAGATTCTTAAATGTGAGACAGTGCTTCTCAAGGGTGGTCTCCAGACCAGCAGCAGCAGCTAAGACCTTGTTAGAAATGCAAATTACTGGTGCCGACATCAGACCTACTGAATCAGAAACTCTTGATATAAGGCCCCGCAATCTGTGTTTTACCAAACTTTCTAGATGATTCTGATACTAAAGTTTGAGAGCTACTGATTTAAGAGAATTCCAAGTCTCATCACTCCACAAGCTATGGGCTGTGCCTAGGAAGGTGAACAGCAGGGGAGAATTGTGGCAAATTTGTAGGTGAAGAAATCTAAGTGGAGAATAAAAATACAGTCAATTCCTCGCTGAATTATCAATATTAGGGTTCCTCATCAACCATTACAAATGGAATATTAAATAAATTCTCCACTTACGTTGCTTTCATGGAAAATAACCTTAAATCCCATTGTCTTAGACTTGCCTGAGGTTATAGAATAATAGAAGGGATAGGCTTTGCGTCAGACAGATTCAATTACTAGATGTTTTCTGGTTGTTTTTGTCCTTGGAGCCTCCACGTACTCATCTGTAAAATTCAGGCAATTGTTCCTTATGTTAATAATTGTTCCTTGTATGAGTGAATATTATTAATGATGTTAAGTGAGTTAACGTCTGAAAAATATTTGAAACATTATGCAATAGGCTTGCAATAATGACAAATTTATTCCCTTTCTCTCTATAACACCTAAGAATGCATTTGGCTAAAAATAACACCAAAGCTTGTTATGGTGGCTTGAAAAAATAGGTTTCTTTGTAACACATATGCCTCCACCCTCATGCTTAATGCCACAAGGTCAAAAGATGGTTGTGCATGATTAGGTATGGTTTCCACATTCTAGGCAGGAAGGAAAACAGATGCAGGAAGCAATCTGTACCTGTCTTGAAGGGCAAAAGATTTCCTAGAATCCCTTGATTTATGTGTCAGTAGCCAGAACTTTGTCACAAGGCCACCCAAGCGCCCAGATATTCTGGGGAGGCAAATACTTTTGGCTGACCACATTGCGCAAACAAAATTAATGTTCTGTTAGCGAAGAAGAAAGAGCAATGGATACTGGGTGGGCAACTAGCAAGTTATTCCATACCCCTAAAATGGTCCCTTGGAGGGATGGTAGCCATTCCATGCATCACTCCTTTTCTTCTTTCTTAGAAAGGAAAAAAGTGTCTCCGCACCACAAAGTCGCTCAGAGCCATGCACTTGCAGTTCAAGAACTGCACAAGCCTGCACACCTACAAGCCCAGGTTCTGCGGGGTCTGCAGTGATGGCCGGTGCTGCACCCCCCACAACACCAAAACCATCCAGGTGGACTTCCAGTGCTCCCCAGGGCAAATCATCAAGAAACCAGTCATGGTCATCGGGACCTGCACCTGTCACAACAACTGTCCTCATAACAACGAGGCCTTCCTCCAAGAGTTAAAGCCAAACACCAGCAGAGGGAAGATGTAATCTGTGTCCCTCAAGAAGCACACCCACAGAGGCAAACTGTAGCGACCCACCATCAAATGAATATAAGAAAAATGATGAAGAGTTGTTATTTCACCCCTGAGTCCTATGTATTTTCTGTGGTCATATGAGGTCAGTTATATCTGTCTTTTTTTTAATGAAAGATACAATTAACAGTAACCTTGGAATCAAGGTAAGCTCAGGATAGTGCTTAGGGATGGCTGACTTTTCTGGGATGTTTACTACAAAAGAAAATCTCTACAAATTTAAGAAATCAGATATATGTTTTACTGTGTAGACCGTATCGCATTACACTCATCTTATTTTGTTATACACTAGTGCAATTTCAAGAAAATGACACTGTCATGAATGACACAGTGAAGTCCAGGATCATACTGAAGATGTCATCATGCAAATTTTTCACCATATATTGAGGTTTGACTTGAGGATTCTCTGTTGAGCTGTCTTTTTTGAGGAGCTCAACCCTGAACTTCCAAGTCTGAGATCTGAGGAAACGTATAGCTCTTCAACTTGAAATCCAGAGAGAATTAGTTTTCTGTTTAGTTATTCACTAGGACACAAGAGGTATCTACAGTAAAGGAGTTTGTTAATTGAGTGGGCTGGTGTCATAAACATTTCAGGCAAATTGACTCCTTTCCAATAGAAAGAAGCTAAACAGAAGACTCCCCCTAATACAGAGATGACCAGGCCCCAGCAGCCCCCGTCCATTTGTATATGCTGGAGGCTGCTGGGGCTCACTAGTTTTTTAATTCACAAGAAGCAGAGCTCATCTTACTGATAAGTAAACTGAGGCCCAAAGCACCTGATGACAACCTTTGATGACTTCCAAATGTGCTTGTAGTGGAATTTTAAAAAAGAACAGAATCGACACGAGTATGGTGGCAAGAGACCACAAGTTGTATGGGAGTCTAGAATTATTGTGGACATGTGCAAAACTTATCCTTGGGCCATAATTATGCAAACTCACAAACAAGATATATGTGTATACATGCTGTATCTAATTTGTCGGGCTATAAGATAGGCTGCAAACTTAAATGTATACATTCTTCTAATGCCACCATATGTGTTCAGCTTTTCTCCTTTAATGTATTTATATAAATATAAGTTATACATTTTTTAAACTATTCTTTTTACTTTCTCTACTTGTCAGACATCACTAAATAAACATGATCTTATCAATGTGTGACTCTGCTATTACTTTTGTGCTTATAAGTTGTTTATTGAAAATAAAAGTTAAATTTATGTTTACCAATTAAATCAGACACCAAGCGACAGCATCTATTGAAACCAAAGTGAGTATTTTTAGATGAGCTTACAATTTCTTATCAGAAGGGAAACAAAAAACAGCTCTTGCTGAATTAGATGATGTCTAGTGCCAAGGGCTCAAATCTTCTCCACACCCTTTGCTAAAACCAACACCTTGAGTCCTGATGTTTTTTTCTGGACAACCTGCTGGGCACCTCTATACACTATTAAACATTGAATTTCTTGTTGGACAACAACTCACCTCCCTGGCTTCTTTATCTCATTAAAGGGCTCTCCATCCTCCCAATTACCCAGCTTCAACTGCCAGCATTACCTTGATCAGCCTGCTCTTGCTACCTTGCTACATGCCCAGAAAAGCCTATTTCCAGCGGCGATGCAGAGCAGAGCAGTGAGCAGGGCTGCCCTTGGAAAGTGTGAGGGTCAGAGTTAATATAACTTTCGTGGTTTAAAGTTTCCGGCTGATGCAGTGGATCTATAGTTCTTCCGTAATTAAAAAAAAAGTTTTGTTGTCCCTAACGTCACTTCCCATATCTAAAGGCCCCTTCCCACCCATCTCTTTAGCTGGTTTCTATTTGTCCTTTAAGATAGACTGTAGTGCTCGCCCAGTGGCATAGTGGTTGAGTTTGCATGCTCCGCTGCAGCGGCCCAGGGTTCGCAGGTTCAGATCCTGGGCGCAAACCTATGCACCGCATGTCAAGCCATGCTGTGGCAGGCATCCCACATAAAATAGAGGGAGATGGGCACAGATGTTAGCCCAAGGCCAATCTTCCTCAGGCAAAAGAGAAGGATTAGCAATGAATGTTAGCTCAGGGCTAATGTGCCTCACAGAAAAATAAAAAAATAAATAATAAATAAAGAAAATAAGATAGACTGTATAGCACGTTTGACTTCTAGGATTTTGTTTAAAGGAAATTATTAAGGACAGCTAACATTTACCGTATACTTTGTGATGAGCACTTTACCTTCGTTATATCATTTAATTTGCACAATAGCCCTACGATGTAGGCACTCGTCCCCATTTTACAGATGAGGAAACTTTTCAAAATTTAAAAATAAATGGATAAAAGAAACTAGTGGATCTAGAACTTAAACCAAAGTCCTTTTGCTTCTACTTTAAGCTATCACATGTTTCCATGTAAAGATTAGATAGATATGTGCAAGGCTGTTCAGTCCAATGTTGTCTATAATGGCAAAATGGGAATATTCAAAGGTCCAACAATACAGATTTGGCTATAGATAAATGCTAGTACCTCCATTATGATGAGGAACAAAGCAACCTTTAAAATGAAAAGGTGAGAAAATAATTACCCCCCAAAGGTTCTAAAACTATGGAAACAGGCATTTGGTTTTGTTCAAAAGTATCCATGAACGTGAATGAAAAGAGAACTAGGAGAGAATGTGCAACAAAATATTCGTGATTACGTCAAGTTGGTCTCATTTGTTTTCCTTTTTTTCTTTTTAACCGAAAATACACTACCTTTATAACCAGAAAAAAAAGGCAAGGCTGACTTCAGCTATCCCTTCAAGGGCAGTTCCCCTCACACCTCTGCTCATTCATGCTGAGTTGGCAGCTCCTTCCAGCTTCTGAAACATTAACTCATTCATTCATTTTCTTCATTCAAAAAATACTGACTGACTGCTTCTGTGTGCCTAGCGTTGTTTAGGTCCTGGGAGTACACCCATGAATAAAACAAACATCAACAATAAAATAAACAAGTTATCTGTTTTCCCTGTAATTTGCATCTTGTTGGCAAAAGCAGGCAAAAGCAGGAAACAATTAAAGAAGATAAACATCAAATAATGATAAATAAACCCTAGTACGATCATTACAACAGGGTTATCTAACAGAGAATTTCTGGGTGGCTAATTTACCTGGAGGTGGTCAAGGAAGTTCTTTCTGAAGAGATAGCATTTCATCTTAGAGCTGAATCACCAAGATTAGGAGAAAGAATCTTCCAGGCAGAGGTAATAGCTAGTGCAAAAACCCAGTGTCAGAAATAAGCTTGGAGCTTCATCAAAGAAAATCTGTGTGGCTGGAGCAATGTGTGAGGGGCGTGGAAGATGATGCGATTGCAAGAGATGGAATGTGTAGGACGTGCCTCTATATCAGAGTTCCCATGCTATTTTACAACTGATTCTTTAAATCCCATTCCACTAAGCATCCTGAGACCAGCATCTTAGTCTTCTTTGTATCTGTCCCAGTACCCGGCACCCAGAAGGACCTCACTGTATACCTGTTGAATGAATGAATGGATGAATAAGTGAATGAATTAATGGACTGCGCATTAACAAAAGATAGAATGTTCTTCGAATATATGTTAGGCTTTCAAACTGTCATTTTCATTATCACTATCACTATGATTTTCATTACCATTATCACTTGGAGAGCAATCCTTCACTCTTTAACATATATAAACACACACATACATGAATGTATTCCTGAATAATAATTAAAGACAGTGGAAAAAATGTGATCTGATCTACAAATATTTGCTAAGTCCAGAATGTTCTAGTAATACAGCAAGGAAAGCAACATTTACTGAGTAGAGTTTAGGGCTGCAGAAAGAGTGCGGTCTTGGGAGTTATTCAAGGCTGGGTTTGAATACTGGGCCTATTCTTTCCCAGCTGTGGGGTATTGGGCAATTTCCACACAACCTCTGAGCCTCAGTTTCCATACCTGTAAGATGAGACTATAATATTGAGGGTGACCAACCACCCTAGTTTGTCTTGGACTGAGATGGTCCCTGGGACTCAGGACAGTCCAGGGCAAACTGGGACAAGTTGGTCACCCTAACTATCAACCACATGTTGTTGTAGGATAATATGCATTCATAAGCTTGCTTATGCAAGCCTTGCTGTGCCAGGCACATAGTAGGCCTGCAGAGATAGCTGTTAATATAATAAGTATCCAGGAGAGCCAAGCAATGCCCCATAGTCTATGTGTGTCATGTTCAGACCTCATTATTGACCTCATTTTTACAGGGAAAGATGAAGGGACTCAAAGAAGCTAATGACCTATTAAGGACACAGTAAATGAAGGATCTGGGATTCAAACCCAGGGTCTGCCTGAGCTCAGAGCCAAAGCTCTTTCCTTTTTACAGTGCCGCAGCTGCTGAGGCCAAGTATATTTTCAGCATCCAAAATAATTCCAGCCGTTTTCATTTTTGTGCTATTTTCCCAAACTATAAATGTTCTCTTTTAGAAACAGCATTGCAAAGGAGCGAGACTGTTGAGATCATTCTGTGAATGTGAAATTTTGAAAGCATTTAATTGCTGTTTAGCGATAAGGCAGTCTTCATTGAAAATTATTTTACCACACAAGGATTCAATTCAACAATGCAGCAAGGCGTGTTGGACTACACAAGGAAATAATTTGTCACATACTTGTCTGTGCTTGATGAGATTATCAATGAAGCTTGTGATGGAGATTTCTGGGCGGTATTAGATGTCTCTCCCGGTGTCTTCTTTGGAGGTAAACTTTGTCATGCTTCTGGACGGGTTTCATTCCAAAATGCTCAGCATCATAAGTCAAATCACCAAAACAGTATGTCCTTTTGGCTGTGTGCTATCAAGCTTAGTTCAAAGATTCATTATTGTTGGAAATGTATTCATCTTAACCACACTGCATGGTCCTTGAAAGCAGTGCTATGCTGTCTTGACCACAGAGGGTTCACCAAATTCAATTACCACTTCAATAACATGGTTGGCACTTGCTGAACTCTGAATAATGAAGCATTCTCCCCAACCATCCAGCTGAGGACTGTGAATTCCTGTTACATTAAGCCAGCTGTTCCGAGGATACTCAGGAGGTGCAAAGAGTAAGGATAGCAATGTTGTACCATTCTTCCTAGAGGATGTATATCTTTCTTCGCAGGACAAGAAAATGAAGGTCTGAATTTCAGACCAGGAAGCTCTACAAAAGAATATACAGTTCCATTCAAATGGCAAAGTTCCACACAATGAACAGCCCACGAGTTCTACTGGAAGGATCCTGGAAATAAATGTTCTCTAATCCAAGAAGAGGATGTTGCTTGGACTCATTTTTTATGAGCAAAATCTGAGAAGTAGGCTCTGCTTATAGCATACGTTCAGAAGTCTGGAAGAGGTTACAAAGTTCTTAGCGTGGGTTAAATAAGGGTCAATATGCTCCAACCTGACCCAGATTTGTCCTTGGCAGAGGAGATCCCAGTAAATGTGAGTTCTAGTTCCTCTGAAAGTTCAGCAATGAG